TATATATATAGTGTACACACACACTTTGATCACATTTGCTCTCATTGTCCTCCTTTTCTCCCTTATTCCATTTCCATTCCCACCAGACCCCTTTCTAGCAATTCCCCCTTTTATTTCTCTCTCTTTGTCTCTCTGTCTCTCTGTCTCTCTGTCTGTCTGTCTCTCTGTCTGTCTGTCTCTCTCTCTCTCTCTCTCTTTCCTACCTTCCTTCCTTTCTTCATGCATTTAATTAGTGTTACTTGCATGAGCTGGCTGAGGGGTTATTACTTGAGCAAAGGTCTCTCGCTAGCCCATTTTGGCTCGACTGACTAGCCAATGAGCTTTGGGGTCCTGTTTCACCATCACCATGCCCGCACCACACATAAACTCTTTACAGTACACACTGATGCACACTGAAGCTGAGGATCTAAGTTCAGGTCCTCGCTGCTTGTATGGCCAGCACTTCGGATAGAACTAGCCTCAGCCCCTTCTGCCTCGTATTGACGGAGCTGTGTCGGGAAGAGGTCTCAGCTTGGGTTTCCTTTGGAGTGGAGGCAAAAGCAAAGCCGATCAGTGCTGACCACACAGCAATCACAACGCTGGCCATTTCAGACAATGGTCTTGACCTCGACTCACACCATCCTCAGCTACCTAGCAGATGGTGGGAAATGCTCTCTTCCCAAAATAGAATTAAACCAGGAAGTTTCCAGGTCCTCACTAGGAACCAATTCTTTTCAACCAGAGAAGGAACAACTGAGCACCCAGGACCTCCCGAGACTCTTCGTCTGGCTCCACAGTCTGGTCTCCGGGACTGTGAGGTTCACAGAAATAACTCCTGGGATTTTGTAGTCTGCTTTATCTTTAAGCACATGTTAATTACACAAACTAAAGACTTTATTATGACCCTTTCATACGTGCATGCAGTGGTCTGTGATTTGATTCCTCTGAAAACGTAAATGAGGACAGTTGTGTTTTTGTTTTTGAACTCTTCTGTAGGCCGCGCAAATAGGATCAAACTCATCGTGCAACCAAAGGTGGCCATGAGCGGTTGGTCTTCTACTTCTCTGTCTCCCCAGTGCTGGGAGGTCAGCACCCCTGCTTGATCAGAGCTAGAGGTGGAACCTTGTGCCTCTTGAGCAAGCACTCTACCTACATACCTAGCTACAGTCCCACCTGAGGTCAGAGTATGCAAAGCAGAGTTTGCTTGGGAATTACAGAAATCCAGAGAGCAACAGGAAGCTCTGTGCTCTGCAAACTCAGCTCCTTGTTAGAGGAACAAGTGTGAGTCCCTCCTGGCTCTCACTCTCAGCTCCCAGTTCTTTCCACACGGGAAAGCTGCCTCCATAGCTTCAGCCCACAGTCATTCCATGGGAAGAATTCACATTCACGGTTTTAAAATTCTGTTCTCTCTTTTTAAGAATCCTTTAAAGAATGCATCATTTTTATTATGTCTCAATGGGTTTCAAATAATAAAACCGTTTTTAAAAGGCTTCCAAACTAGAGAACAATTTACAATGGCTTTGTTTTCAATTTGTCAAAAAACAGTTTAGTATTTTTGTATATTCCCTTCTACTGTTCATATTCATATAATATTCTATAGCAATTAGTCATAATTTATATAAAAGTACTACCTTTTATTATACTTGCCACAATACCACAGTCATTTTTATACATATAAAATATATTTTTAATGTTGATTTTTGCAACCTTTATTCTCTTTTTAGCTGATTTTCAAAGTGCCATGATTATATTATCATGCCTATTTGGGGTTATCAGATTATTTCCATCTAAAATTATTTTTAAGTTCACTTTTATAATTACATAAATAAATATACAAACTGCAGAAAATTTAAAATAAAAAGAAATAAAAATCTACACATAAAATTTGATATACAAACATTCAGTTTTGATTTTTTTCATTCATTTACTTTGGTTTTATGGTATCCTGGGTTTGGATGTGGTTTGTTTGCCAGAGTTCACATGCCAGGGGCGTTGTCTCCAGTGTGGAGGTCTGAAAGATGGCAGAGTCTTAGGAGGTGGGTCTGATCACCATATCTGCAGACTCTTAACTGGCAATGTGCAGAGAACAGCGACTGTGGATGCTCAGACCTCTACAGCACTCTCCAACATTCGGGAGCATCACAAAAGAGAGGCAGAAAGAATGTCAGAGCTGGAAGGCAGGGTGTAGCATTGTGAGATACTCTTCAGGGCATGCTCTTTACCAAGACAAGATTGGGCCCATCGACTCCTGTTAGGGATGGAGAGGGAGCTCACATGGATGCCCCCTCCTTTATAGATTTATAGACAGATAGCTAAGGAGGTAACTAAGAGCTAGTGAGGTGTGAGTGCTCCCTGCAGGTCTAGAGACAGGCAAGGGCTGGGGAAAGGAGAGCATGTCCTTTGGTGGAATAGCCACTGGTAGGGTGCCCAGACCCCGTAAGTAACCCCGATGAAAAACCAAAGCCGTGAAAGCAATGGAGAACTCAGGAAGAGGAAGCAAACCAGCAAGAGTGGGTGAGGAAAAGAGACAGTGATGGGGTGAATATGATGAAAATATTCCATATATTCATGAAAATGTCAGTGATCTCTCTATTAATAAATAAAAACATTAAAATGAGAGGCGAATCCAGCAGAAAGTGATTAGGTCGCTGGGCATCATGGAAGGTGATCAGTTCACTTGGTCCATGGAAAGTGTCAGCTCACTGGGGCTATGGAGTTGGACACTTCACTGAGGCCATTGAAGATGGCCTCACTGCAGGTCAGGAAAGATGGTCAAGTCACCGTGGCCCCACCCTCAGAAAGGACTCAAATCAGAGTGAGGTAGTTTCCAATAGAGTCCACGCCAATCCATACACTTACCTATTTTCCAGGCATCCGTCTCGTTCTGTGCTTCTTTCTCTGTCATGTGTGACAAACACCAGCGGGCAGCTCTTATTGGAGACGGAGCAGCCAGTACCATCCTGTCTCAGGCTTTCGGCCTCCCGCACTAGAAACCACACAAACCTTTCTTCGTATTGTTTCTTATATTGCAGATGAATTAATGCTCATGGTTACCACAAGGAAGGTCACTTGACTTTATGAGGCTCTTGGGGCATCACAGCGTCTCAGGCATCTTGCTGTCACCTTGAAGCAGACGCAAATTTCAATCTCTACTTTGTAGTTGGTGTCACCTGCAGCCACTCCGAGATCACCCTGTCCTTCAGTCCCTATCAGTTTCCACGTTCTCTCTCTCTCTCTCTCTCTCTCTCTCTCTCTCTCTCTCTCTCTCTCTCCATGGAGGAGATTCTTCTACACCCTGACACTCTCATGAGCTCAGCCTAACCTACCCATCACGCACATCTGCAGGGCAGTCCTGTGATGAGAATATACCCCGGAGCTCCAGACAGAAGCACCCACGTCACCCAAAGAAGGGACCACCCCCTCTCTCAGCAGCAAAGGTTTCTGAAGTGTGGGGAGCTGCCTGATAAACTAACCTGTCTACATCATTGTGTTTTTCTTTAATATTGCTGAGTATTTTTATAATTGCTTTGCTCAGCAAGCCTGCGAAATAATGGGTAGTCCTTGGTTTTTTTTTTTTTTTTTTTTTTTTTCAAGCAGGGGTTTCTCTGTAGCTTTGGAGCCTGTCCTGGAACTAGCTCTGTAGACCAGGCTGGTCTGGAACTCACAGAGATCCGCCAGCCTCTGCCTCCCGAGTGCTGGGATTAAAGGCATGCGCCACCACCGCCCGGCTTAGTCAAGCTCTTTACCACTAGGCTTTGTCCCTAGCTCTTGGGTTTCTGAGACAAAATGGCAGTAGGTAGCATTAGTTGACTCTGAACTCCTCATGACCATCCATCCTCTGGAGCACTGGGACTACATGTCACATCATGCCCAGCCTTTAAATAATCATGTTGTCTACTGTTGTAGAAATTTATCGTAACCATGTAGACATGTTTTCACGTTACTTAAGCATGTAAAAAGCTCTCTACTGAACATATTTTTGTTCCTTAATGTGTGCTTTTCCATCTTTGAGCATAGGTTATTGATCCAATGACTCTTTGACCCTTGACTGAATAATTTTTCTATTTANGTTCGCTCTCCTTCTGCTCCTGATTTGGACCTTGAGATTTCAGTCCGGTGCTCCAATGTGGGTCTCTGTCTCTGTCTCCTTTCATCGCCTGATGAAGGTTAATATTCAGGAGGATGCCTATATGTTTTTCTTTGGGTTCTCCTTCTTCTTTAGCTTCTCTAAGAACCCGAATTGTAGGCTCAATGTCCTTTATTTATGGCTAGAAATAGTCCTTGGTTTTACAGATGTGGGAACTGAGGCTCGGGGAGAATAAATGACTTGCCTTAACTGGTCACAAAACTGTATCAGTAGAGGCTCAAATGTGAAGCCTCTTCCCTGTTCAGATGGTGTTCGTAGGGTGCAGATAAATGGTACAGTGCTGAAGGGAGTGACCTCGAGGTGACCTTACACACTAGTGCAGCCACACAGGAGATGAAGGAAGTAGAAGGGAAAGGCCCTGAGAGCTAAGAAGGCGGTTTGCAGGGAAAACATCTGTCCATCTCCTATGGCTTAGTGAGATCTTGTGTGTGTCTGTGGGAACATGCTGGCTCCTGCTTCGGTCAGAGTTTGCTTCCATTTTTTCTAAAGAAGTATTTATTTTTATTTTATGTGTATGGGAGTTTTGGACTGCATGTCTTTCTGTCTGTGCACCTCATGCCTGCAGTCCAGTCCAACTGTGTGGATTCATGAACAAGTAATTGCTTTTAACTGCTACACCTTCTCTCCAGCCCTTTTCTCCATTTTTATACGAACAGGATGGAAGTTTCCATCATCTCAATCCCTTGCAAGGATCAGCTTGCACTAGATCCTTCTGGCACCCAGAGATGAGCGTCTCATGAGGGTAGTGTCAGTACGATTCTGCTCTAGCCCTTGGAAGTCCTCTGTGTCCCGCTGCAGGGCACTACCCAAGCTCCTGGACCACTGTTCTGCCTTCATCATCCAAATTATCCTCCCATTGCCAACCTGACCTCAGAGGAGGGAGCCAAAACTCAAGATTACTCGTGGCTTTCGTACCTTGCCTGTCCTTTCCCTAGAACCAGTGGCACCAGGCTCAGGGTGTCACATCCTATGCAGGGTTTGAGTTGGAGAAGCACGAGGTGGCTCCCGAGCTGAGCTGGTGGCTGGAGGCAGGCAAGAGAAAAATGTGTTCATTGCGTACTCAAAAATAAAAAGAAGGATAAAACCACAAATGCTCTACATAATTGTTTCCAGAGCTTGGATACAGGAAATCTCTTGCACAGTTCTATCCATGAGGATCCCACGAACCCTGGCCAAGCTATTTTTGTCTTTGGAGCACCTCTCTATTTCTCCTGTAAGACTTCCATTTTAGTTCTTCACAGTCAGTCACTGCCCATGCAGTCACCCTGACACCCTCGCTACATCTGTCTCACAACCACAGGACAGGAATTCTCGGGAGTCTGATTCTCAGAACCTCCCCAAGGCCACCTAGAAAGACAAACACAGGCTTGTTATCTCGGCAGTGACCCAGGGTGGTCTTCGGGGATTCTGTTCCCAATACTTCCCGAATTCCTCTGCCAAGATCAAGCAGAGGCCTGGCTCTCATTCTCTTTGTAATTTTGTGACAGGTGTCCTGAAAGCTGAAAAGCAAATAATTCGTCGGAAACTCCAGCTAATCAAAATCACATTAATTAGAAAATTCTTCTCTATAGCTCTTAGGCGCTACAAAGACTTTTCTAGAAATAAATGCTGAAAACGGACCCTTATATTAACACTCAGGATCTCTGCTTGGTTGTGGCCTTTTGTTTCTTTGTCTTTTCCTTTCTTCAATTTCAGCTTCTAAATTCTTCCCCAAGGACGCCGGGGACAAAGACACTGTTTGTTACAAGTCTATTTAAACGTGACCCCCGTGTGCCCCCAGCCTTCATCCCGGACCTACGCAAACTCTGGCAGATACCTTGGATCCACAGTTCTTACTTAGTTTAGTGAATCTTTTCTCCAACTTGAACTTTTAGGCAGGAGTTTTTCCTTTGCCAACCATGTCTGCTCGTGGAACGAGGTCTATAGATGACAAGGTCCCTCTTGTCATCAGAGAAATCTGCAGATAAGGACATAGTGAAGTTTGCTTCACCTGCTTTCACTTTTCTATCTTTTACAATATATGTAATGCAATTGAATCAGAGTGTGGATTAATTTGAGATTTATTGTCCTGACAGTATTTGGGTTTCCAGTTCAGAAACTCCATTTGTGTTTCTGTGTATTGAGATTTTCCTTAGGTAACAGTGCTGTTCCACAGTCTCCATGAAAAACCCCTTACATTTTTTTTCGTTAATTTTATTCCTGAGTATTTTTCTGCTTGATATTATTGTAAATAAAACTGGTTTCTTAATTTTATTTTCAGATTTCTCACTGTCAGCACACAGGGAGGCTACTGACCCTTGTGTGTCTAGTCTGTAACACTTCTAACATTGTTAATTAGTCCTGAAAATATGTTTGTTTTATGTTCCTGTGAAACTTCTAAATACAGGTTCAGCTGCAGAGTGAACTAGCTTCTTTTCCCCCTTCTCTCTCTCCTCTCTGGCTAGAAACTGCAGCACATTGTTGACCTATCTTATTTCTGGTCTTTGGACAGGAGCTTCCAACCGTTCACCTCTATGCAGACTGTGGTGTCCTGTAAATGACGTCTGTCAAGGTGAGGGTGGTTGCTCTATTTCTAGTTCTTTGGATGTTTAAAATATGTTAACATTTTGGCAAGTGCTATTGTTCATCTTGGTGAAGTTCTTTCATTCTGTCTCCATGCTAGTATATTATAGTAATTGGTCTCCATGATAGTATATAACAGTAACTGGTTTTCACATGTTGGGCACAATTCCATTTCTGAACCTATTTGGCCATGATATAGCATTTTCTTTAGTATTGTCAAGCTTGGTTTTCTGGAATTCTGTTGAGGGTTTTTTTTTTTAAAATATTTGTTTATGGTTTATTTTATGTGCATTGGTGTGAAGGTGTCAGATCCCCTGCAACTGGATCTTCAGACAGTTGTGATCTGCCATGTGGGTGCTGGGAATTGAACCCAGGTCCTTTGGAAGAGCAGTCAGTGCTCTTAATCACTGAGCCATCTCTCCAGCCCCACTGTTGAGGGTTTTGAATCTATGTGCATTAAGGTTATTTGGTTTCATTGTGAGGATTTTTATCTAGTTTTTGTATTTGGTTAAGAGCAGCTTCATAGAATAAGTTGAAAAGTAGTTCTTCCTGAGAACTGAGCCCATGAAGGGTTTGTGCTAGCTGTCCTGAGTCTTTGGTGGAGTTCACAGGGCAGCCAGGTGACTTCGAGGTCTCTGTATTAAGGAAGGTTTTATTGCTAGATTGCTCAGTTTGTTAGTTACATGCTTGTTTAGGTTTTCTATTTTGTCCCTGTATCTGTTTTCCATGTTGCGTTTCCTCTGAGTTTATTGATGTTGTCCAGGTTCTCTCTCTC